ACCCGGATGCGTTCAATCACAACCCGGGAACTTAATACTTAACGCGGATATCGCTACATAGACGGCTATGAAATGTTAATATTTCATGCTTTTAAAGCTTATGGATATGAAGGTAAATAAATACTCCGATTCGCAGGAACGAAAGATGAAAAACATTTTCAAACTGAGATCCAAGATCTTCAATTCAACATACTTAAATAAATACAAATTTGAAACTCAATCCAGCTGACAGAACAGTTGTTGAAGCATAAACTATAATTAATGGCGTAAATACCAAACATAAAGCCAACTAAGTGTAAACAAAATTTGGGAAGGTTATAGTAGCAAGATAGCTCATTAATGCATAGCAACAAGACAGAAAATGAAATATTTTAAGCTCAAGAAAAGAACTCGAACACCATTAGAACATTGGAAGCATCTCATTCAAAAAGTTATTGTGCCCATAAAAATCTGTGAAAACTCTCCGCGAGGATCGTAACGTCTATAACTAGTTTATAAACCATAACTTGGACGTTTAAGCACCCAGTAACGCCCGAAACGATCGACTCTTAAAGCGAAATGAAGGATTTCACGAAACATATAGTTCTTTATTGAGATCACGGAATTTCCTAGCGTCACGACTCCGACAATTCGTCCGACTGTATAATTGATTTCACGTTGTGTACTATAAATAAAATAATAATCTATAGGTATACCTACGTGAAGCAGAAACTTTGTACCCCTTTTTACTACTTTTACTGGTGGTAGGACCTCTTGTGAGTCCGCGCGGGTAGGTACCACCGCCCTGCTTATTTCTGCCGTGAAGCAGTAATGCGTTTCGGTTTGAAGGGTGGGGCNAAAAAAAAAAAAAAAAAAATAGCGCGGACGGAGGAGTATGAAATTTTCCATACTTATAGAGAATATATAGAAGGAGTGTAGAATTATAATTTTTTTTAAAAAATATGCATTAATAATACATTAAATCAATAAAAAAATATTACACACACTATCGTGCATTTGACACACACACACATATATTATTTATTTATTATCAAATTTTATGTTATATTATTTAATTATATTTGTTTATTGTCAAATCTTTGCTTTACGTCTATGGTCTAATTGAGACTAGGTTAATATTGTTTATCTGTAATATTATATGTCTAAAGTGTAGCCTTGGCGAAATCTGTGATTATAGAAGTATAATAAATAGTCTTTGACAATAGAACCATAATAATGTTCAAATTTATAATATCAATTAGGTATAGTCGAATTTCGACTACTGCGGGACCCCTAGTAATAGGAGCCCTAACAATAGACCATTAGAAAAAAAAAGCGCCTTTATTATGAGTAACTGTATAGTTTTCTGATAAGCATATTAAAATCAGTTACTAAGTTCGATCACCATGCTCACGTCGCCACTAATTTGCAACCATCAAAATAACGAATACTCACCCCGGAGCAAATCAATCACGTAGCACGTACAAATCAATAATTCATCGGAGATCCGCACTTCAATTCATTCATCGCCGTGGCCCTCGAAACAATTAAGTGCCAATACTTCCCCCTATCCCCGACTTCCCCCCCGAGTAATATCGCGGTGTAATTACGCTTTTACGCACTCCAGAGACGATTTCGCGAACTCGGAGCGGACTTTACGCGTTTCGGCTTGTAATAAGTTCGCGTAATGTTTCACACTCGGTTTTGCGGTTTTGTTTATGTTGTTTCTAGGGATGTTGTGCGACAGGAAATTGAATTTAAAACTTTGACTAAATCAGAGTAGGTTTGATGAAATAATCGGGAAGGTCAGTTATGTAGTACACAAGTCCGGCTTCACAAAAAACGTTCATTAGTTTTGTTCTACGATTTCCTGTTAAGCCCTAATAAATTATCTCAAAACTAATACGCGTAATACCACAAAAACAAATTACGAACGACGTAATAATAATAAGGTTATGTTGAAGCGATATGGTCGTCCGTTATTCGGAGTCCATTGAAATGAGAAGCGAAGGGAGATAAGAAAAAAAAACGCCCGACCAAAGTAAACATCACAATTTGCGAGAGGCCCGCAAACGAAACATCTTCCTCTACGTACGGCAGTAAAAATCTGTAGAAAAGGAAGTATCGTGAAGATGGAGAGACGGCTAACGAGCGAGGCTCGTGGCGAACGCTCTGATTTCCAATTCAAAGGAAAATTGCGATCCATAAAGTGGGACGGGATGGGGGGGAGTGGAGTGGGTAGCCTCCCCCTGGTTGCTACGCGACGCAGGGAGGAGTCCCCGCAATCACGGCCCAATGGCACGACGGATATAAATTGCTCTCGCATCGCGACACTGGTGTTAGAGCGGGACGCGGCGGCGGTCTCCCTCGCACTAATGAAGTCGCCAATCGCCAGACCCCTTGATTGACGGACTAAAGCGGCCCTTTTTCGAAATGCTATACCTAAGCTAGGTATCGGAGGCGCGCCGTGATTTGTTCGTAATTACGCGCTCTACCGTATTGGCCTTCGTTCCACTTGGACAATATTAGTATATTTAAAGCCAGATATGTTTCTCGATAGCTTAGTGACAAATAACAAGTAAACATATATAGTATAGTGGTGATATATGGTGCTTAATACAAAAATATTTTTGAATAAAATTAAATGAGTCATAGGTTGAATACTTGATAATTATTATTCGAATTCTCGACATGTGGAATTTACATACATTTGTAAACATAATAATATGTAAATTTTGAATGTATGCGAATAGGCGTGGATTCGTATAGACATGCTTATAATTAGTATTTAAAAGCATTAATCGACTAAAGATGAAATAAATCTGTATTATTTGAAATATATCATTATGTATTTAGTCTGATTTAAAGGCGATAAAAGTTTGATTTAAAAATCAGTGCGAATAATTTTGAACAAGTATATAAATGCTTAGTATTCATGTTTCCAAAATCTAAATTAACCTTTGGCGAAAGTTAAGCCGAATAGAATTAATTAATCACTCGATTATTAGAGCAAGCTGGTACATCCCTAAGTGATATAAAGTGCGATCCTGATCAGTAAATACTTCAAATCGAACGTTATAAAGAGATAATCAGTTAGCTTCAGTTTTATGTTGTCAACTGTATTACGCTAAATGTCGGCTATCTATAATGGAATTATACTTTTTTGAATAGATTTAAAACGCCTAACACGTGTGAACTTGCAATATATATAAATATATAAATAGTCCATGTTGATAATCGATTTTCTTTATTTATTTTTTTGTTTACTTTACTAATTTGGTGTTCACTTTACAAGATAGTACTTACATACAGTCAGTTTAAGTCTAAAGGTATCAATGATTATAGTTGAAATTCGGTCATTCAACGAAGAATACTTTTTTCAATATTATGAGATTAAAAGCAGTTGTCTAGTATGTTACATATTCCGTAAACATTTATAATGACTTAAAAACTTCTAAATTACACTGTATACTGTAAAACTCGCAAATAAAGCGAGGCATTTGTAAATTTCCATTCGCTCCATCAAAGCAGCGTCTCACACAAGAATGCTATTAAATTCCTCACGATTTCCGCGATTGCTTATACGCTATTAATATAAGTTATCAATAGTGAGAGAAATGAAAGTTGAAATCGATTACGATTCAATTATATTTCATTGATATTCAGTTTTATCGTAAAATATATCCATCAAAATCTCACATCACTAGTTTTATTTGAACACCAAACATTAAAAACTGTTTAACTGATTCCAAATTTAAAGATGTAGAATTCTATTTAGTTCGAACTTACTAAGATAAGAAAGAGCGCTTTGTAGATTATAAGTGAAGCACGTAGTATCCGCGCTTCGAATCCTTAATACGCCGGACTACGCAGAGATTACGCGGACGTGTATTTAATATACGTTCGGACGTGGCACTGGCCACTTTCGGATACTTAGGGCTGTTCAATTTGTACATCTCATTTTATAGTTAGTACTAGCTGACCCGGCAGGCTTCGCAGTGCCTCAATCGACAAATAAAAGACCTAAGCTTTTGTATAAAATAAACTTAAAACAAACAAAAGGAATCAGTCCGACGGAGGACACATCGAAGGGAAAACCAAAATTGTTATTTTTATTTAATTCCGAGCGTCTTCATATTTATCTACCCATTATTAGGCTATGAGCCAATAGGTCGGGAAAAAAGTCTAGTGACCCAGATGAACAATAAGTTTGCTACGTCCCTATGAAGTTTATGTGTTAAAAAGTCCAATCAAATATATTTAGGTAATAAACCAATACTAATATTTCTTTATAAATCTTATAAACAGCTATTAAGTTATAAATAGAGGTTAATATATACCTACTAGATAAGCCATAGTATTCTCAATGAAATCTGCGACTCGAAAGACACAAAGCCATACAAAAAGTTTTGAAATAATGAACAAAAGCAGAAATAAATGTAATAGAAAAGTGGAAGTAAATCGATGGATGTCCAAATTTAGACATTTTATAATTTTTTGGGAACGAAATAACATTAATTACATACAGAATTCCAATAAAAATTTAATAGTTTTAAGATGTCAGTCAACCCTGCTTGCTCAGAGTTCACCCATATGTCTCCTACGAGCGGATCGAACTTTCTTTGTGCTAGATCAGGGAATAAGTTTACCTCCTATATATAGAACAAACATTCCAAAATCAGTTAAATAAATAGTTTGAATTAGACACTATATTTGATTCGCAACGTTAATTTGTAACTTGGATATTTCTAGTTTTATTATTCAATCATATTCTGTCTACAATGACAATAAAAAAGTAGATAATAGAAATGTAATCAATTTTAAAGGGGAACCATCGCCCAAGGAATAATTCTTTGATAGCTCTACCACATATCTTAGTTAGTTTAGCGAATAATTACGTCCACAACGTAGGTAAACATACATACATAGTTCAAACCAGGCTCCAATGTCCCTTTGTTTTGGGCATCGTAACAAATTTAATACAAATTTAACACATATTAAATACCTCACTTTGTCCACAGGTGAAAAGCCCCACAAGTGCCAGGTCTGCGGCAAAGCTTTCAGTCAAAGCTCGAATCTGATCACACACTCCCGCAAGCACACCGGCTTCAAGCCGTTCGCTTGCGAGCTTTGCGGGCGCGCTTTTCAACGAAAGGTCGACCTTCGCCGGCATAAAGAGACGCAGCATGCCAATTTGAGGGCGACCCAGCCTATGCAGCCTTCGCATACAGATGTCCATTCCATGCACTCAGATATGCAAATACCTGACCATAGAATAGGTAATGACATTGCAATTCTCAATTTTCTTAACAGTTCTTGAGTGAGTAAGTACTTTTGGTAATGACTTTTTAAGTCATCTTGGCCTAAAGGATAATTCGCTTGAAGTATTCATATCGAACGAAGCAACTATGTCGGAGTAAAAATCCCGCAGGCAACTACCCATGTAATGAAATACGTGCTTAGATCATGCTCACGAATGTCTTTTTTTATTTTATTGCCTTTGTAAGCAGACGAACTTACGACCCACCTGATGGTAAGTGGTCACCGTCGCTCATGGACGCAATGCCAGAGGCAGAGCCAAGCCGCTGCCTAGCATTAAGTACTCTCCGCAAGCCTTGTTTGAAGAAGGACATGTCATAACGCTCGGAGAACACCGTGGAGGGGAGCTCATTCCATAGCCAGATGGTACGTGGCAGAAAAGATCTTTGGAAACGCACTGTCGATGAACGATGTCTTCCACGATGAAAGAATAACATCGTGTAATCGCGATTAAACCCGCAAAAAATGAAATTTTTCGTATTTCCTATACAATTGAAGAGAATTGAGATCTATTTTCAAGTGTCAAGATGGCGGTATTCAAGATTTAATATTTCTGAGTTGTACTGGCTACTGGGTTCAACGTTCTAAATAATTTTAAACTAAAACTGTTTGGCGTTTGACATTGGTCATTATTCGTCGGCTAGATAAGATCTCAAGCACATGATGAATTTAGAGGTAGCATTAAAAAAACAAAACATTAATTAAGTTATGATGAGCCAACGGTTGTAATTTGTTGTTCGCCCTCAGATATCCGCCCTCATCCCGAGTTGCGGCCTCCGCACCCCGACTTCGGAGCGCCGCCACACATGACCACCGCAGTACCACCACTCCAGCCGTTGCCGTCCTGAACTACAACCGCCTTTCCGCCCAACTGGCGTTAAGGCAAAATCACCAAAGATATAATTAATCACTGTATCCCAAATAAATCCAAAGAAGAAAATTGTTTAATTCTGGAAATGATGTTCCAGGATATACAATCAATAGTACTTCTAATAGCTTATGTAATCTTCTTGTGCGCTAATTAAGTATTGGACAGAGTCAATGTAACTGACAACAGTTTTATTCTAGATAAAGAAAAGAAAACAAACAGTAGGTACTGTACCAAAATTATTAATAATATTAGTTCTTAGTCCTTTGAGGAGAATTTCTGTTATTATAACTTATTGCACTTAAATAGTACCGATTCAAGGAACTTGAAAAATACAAAAAAATAAACGGCTTTTATTTTACAAGTGACGTCATTTGTGGTCAAAATAAGTGACGGTCATCACCACAACTTTAGCCTCGTATGACATCATACGTTATCAGTGCTGTTAAAAAAAACTGTTATATTGAGATGTTTAATATTTTCTTCTTTTTCTTTTCGTGTTCTCATCCCTCTATGATTGGTCAGCACTGCATGTCCTCTTTCTCCATTCAGGCCTATACGTATCTCATCTATATACGTCATCTCTGCCAGTCTCTTCTCTCACATATCCTCTTCCACACATTCCATCCAAGTCTTTTTAGAACGGCTCCTCCTCACATATCCCAAATGTTTAATATACTAACCATTAAAATTTCAGCAGTAATCAGATGATCGTCTTAATTAAAAACAACCTGTAAAACTTTGTAAATCTTCAAATAATGTCTTACCTATATCCGATTGACGTCTAATGTGAAATAACTTTGCTAGGGTATTTGATATAAGATAAATCGCATTATGAGGATTGTTTTTTTTAATAGTTCTTGCATACCAAAATCGATACATTGACATGCAAAGAACACTATATAAACTAGATAATGAAAAAAGTTGGTTAGAAATAATATAAGAATATATACACGATCTTTTTTAATGGTGCCCACTTTGTAAATACGCTGTTGCATCGAGTTTGTAAAACTTTAATGTATGATTAGTTGAATTAAATAGGTATAAAGTTTTTGTGCTTAACAAAAACGATTTTTGGTATAAGACTGTAACAATTATAATGCTCTCGTGTCATCGTAGGTACGTGTTATCATTTAGAAGGTAAAGAATGGCTTTACCTCTACTTTTATTTTCTCTAACTATGCTGTTTGCCTTGAGCGGCTATATCAGCTTCTCCTTGACGTGTAAGTGAGCTCACGAGGCTCAAGCCGGGTGTGTTGCTAACACTGGCTCTAGCAAGAGCAGTACTTCGCAGAATCTACCACCAGATCGGAAACGTGACCCACTGAGAAGATCCGGCGAGAAACTCAATAGGCTGTGTCTATGGGTTAATTCACTGGTGGAAATATAGTATGTCGAATACTCATTAAAGCATTCATCTAACGCAGAACAATATAATGAGATATAAAGTGTAGGATAATTTAGTTGTTGCATCAATCAATAACTAGGTATAGTAAAATTTCACGCTGACAATTTTTCAAGCTTAAAATTGAAATTAGAAATCTTATTTTTTTAATATGATCTCACACGGTGACCTCTGAAATAAATCCTTTAAAACTGTATACTCGTATAGGTCGTCTAGATAGATTACATAATTTTAATTTTCATTTTATAATCTCGTTTAAAACACTTGTCATGAAAGAAATACACGAGTCATTCATTTGTCTTACAATTCTGTTACAATTAAGAATGGTTTTATTAAATTTACGGAGCAACTCAACTTTGCTTTGCTTAAGGCTTCGTCAAACAGAACGCGTAATTAGCGCGCGTCAGAGCGCTGAACTGACGGCGCGCTATGACGCCGAGATGTGTTGTACTACTATGGTAACATACCGTCAAACAGAGCGCCAGCGCTATAGCGCTTATAGACACGCGCTAATTACGCGTTCTGTTTGACGAAGCCTTTAATATAAAAATATTAATTTAATTTCCACGAATATATCTCGAGTGTACACGACCTCTGCATCTCGCAACTGCACGCCACTTTTAATCCGGGTGTTATAAAACTGAGCTCTATTTTTTTACCACTAAGATTCATGATAACTTGGTTTTCGAGTTAACGAGGACAGTATTACGAGCTGACTTGGCCGATTTGAACTTCACGCGTGTATTTTAAGATCTCGATAATAATAATAACGCCCTCAACCTGACCTCTAACACTAAGCTACAAAAAAACAGATCTATTCTATAATATTTACGTGTACTCGTGATGACGCTCTGTGTGCTGAACGTGAGTTTTTAACGTTCTCGATAGCGTAAAAGTTAACTCAAAATTGTATGCAGTTGAAACAGCGCCCCTGGCGGCAAACGTAGGCAAATATTCCAACTCCATACAAATTTAAGTTAACTTTTACGCTATCGAGCACGTTAAAAAACTCGTACTAAGCACACTAAGCGTCTATGATCAAGTTTAACGCGCATACTGTTGTTAATTCGTATCTACAAGTATAAAAATATAATCTTCAGCCGTGTCTAGTGGCAATGTTTTACGAAAATATGAAGCAGTGAAGTACCCCGCCCGTCTCGCTTCGTTTAAATCACATTTATCGAAACTATCATTCCAATTACAAAAGACAACTGATTTTTATTCCATAATTTTACTGTACATATTTTTTTATTGTAAGCTTTACTTGTCGCTCGCGAATTGGATAGGCAATGGGAGCGTAGCCGATATAGCCAACATTTGTAGCAAAAGCCCTATCACTGTCAGATGAAGAGTGGAATGGAACGGAATTTATTTGTTTTAGAGTGAAATTAGAGGAATTTGATAAGTCAACCCATAGTGTATATAAAACAACACACTGAGAGTTGAATATACTCTATGGAATGTGAGAAACCATGTTGCTTTTGGTTTGATTTCCCACATTTCTGCATTTTCAGAAACGCACGATTTTTAATATGTCGCCTTTACTATGAATTTAACCCTGAAAAAATACTAAATTACCGAAATAAGACTATTGACACGGCTTGACGCCATGCGTTCCCGCCAAGAAATCAGGAGCTATAAGCGCAAAGCAGACATTTGGTTAATGTTACCACAAGCAAAAAAACAAACATTCCAAAGAAAAAAGACAAAGAAAGAAAAAAGTACAAATTATGTTTTTGTACTATAAATTTAATTAAATATTTTACACGCAACACAGCTTTTATACATGTTATTTTACACTAAAATAAATAGATATTAATAGGCTTTTGTATTAAAAAAATTAAGACAAATTTTAGGTTTTATAATAAGTCAATACCAAAAAAAAAGTAATAACTGTTTAATTAGTAAATTAATAATTATGTATAGTTTATAGTCATCTTGTTATTATATAATGTACAGTCATTCTTCGATTTCATCATTAATTGTATTAGTAAAATTGTAAATAGGATTAATGGTATGTAACTATTTTGTAAGGATTTTCGGATGCCATCTGAGTATATAGTAAAAATATTTAATCTGTGGTATCTACGTAATTCATAGAAAAAAAAAAACGTTCATAAATTATATTTTAAAGAGGATCTTGTCAATGTATAAAAGGGTTCTTATTGATTGAGAACAATAATAATATTGTAATTGCATGATCTTAATATGAATCATTTGAGTTAGCTTTGAGTTTGTAAGAAATATTCGGTGCTCTACGAAAGTTTATTTTGCAAGAAGTGACACAAATAAACGTTGCGACAAACGCGATTAAGAACGAACCTTCAATCAATTATAATATTAATTTACAATTAATAGTATAATAGAGTTTTATTAAAGTTTTCTCATGTGCTAGTTATGTTATGGTTCGGTAGGCAGCGGCTTGGCCCAGTAGGCAGCGGCTTGGCTCTGCCCCCGTAATTGCTGAAGTCCAAGGGCGACGGTAACCACTCACTATCAGGTGGGCCGTATGCTCGTCTGCCTACAAGGGCAATAAAAATAAAAAAGTGTTAATTTTATATCATCGAAATCTTGAAACCATAAAATTAACATGACATTTTGATCAATATTTTAAATTAAAGATACGTTTTGAAACACACAGTAAATATTTAGTTATAATTAAACGATGTTAAATGAAGGCTTTTTATCTCGAAACTTCCCTTGTTATTTTCTATCTCGGATGTCTTTTGTACATCGCTTTGTATATAATGTATCATATGAACTATCATAATTATTATCTTATAATAAAACAAATCCAAAGAAACGTGCAATGAATGTGTCGTAATTTTACGAATTATTAAACATTATTATCATTATTATTGTATTAAAATATGTCACCTCAATAAACACTCGTGAAAATTAATTGTTTTCATTTCAATATGTACCTTATCTATCTTAAACGCTTACCATACAACCTTTTTTTTGCCTACCTATGCTATTAGTATCAAGGGGCTATACTAGCTTACAGCTTACTAGATACACGGAGAAACTCAGTTGGATCATACAATCACTATAACAAAAATCCCATAGTCACAGCCCACTGAGTTTCTCGCCGGATCTTCTCAGTGGGTCGCGTTTCCGATCCGGGGGTAGATTCTGCGAAGCACTGCTCTTGCTAACCCTAGCATCACTTTCATCACATCATGTTAGCATCACTCCGGTTTGAGCCCCGTGAGCTCACCTACTAGTTAAGGTTATGCTGAAATAGCTTCTCAAGGCTATCAGCTTAGGTAGGAAAAAAAACAAAAATCCTTCTTAAGACACGTCTGATATTTCAGTACTAAGCTGTAAAGTATTTGATTGTTTTACTTGAATATTTTTGTAATGAAATGCTCCCTTCTCTCATGTAAGCATTGAGCATGAGCTCACGAATGACTTTCACTATGCTATTCTTTATAATATCGTGTAATAAAAATCAAACTCGCAAAAATATATTTTACGTAATTCTAAAGACATAAACCTCAAGTCGTAAAATCAAAATTCACGCTGTGTGCTATCTAGACTCTTGTAAACATGTAACTCAAGGTAGACCATAATCTCGTTCACCCATCCATGCAATTAAAAAGGCACATTTTTAAAAAGCGTCCAATTTAGATATTTGTTGATTCAATTTAATAAACAAAGGGTAGCGTTAGAAATAGCTGCAACCTTGATGTCCAAGGCATTCACTACCAATTTACCGAGGGGGTATAGACAGTGGCGTGGAATTTTGCGGTAGGCAGCGGCTTGACTCTGCCCCCGGCATTGCTGAAGTCCATGGGCGACGGTAACCACTCACCATCAGGTGGGCCGTGTGCTCGTCTGCCTACAAGGGCATTAAAAAAATATATAAATTAAAATCTACAAAAAATATATACGTTTAAATATGGGAAAATGCAAACATATAATTAATTGATTTTATATAAATATGTATATCAGACAGACGGATTTCAATAATTTCACTGCTTTCTTCTCGTCCGATTTTGATCCCCATTCAAATTCCAAATAAATCAGAAATTTCCAACCAGTCCCGAAAGCGAGTTAATAAAAACCGAGAAAAAAACCTATTAAACCAATGACAGTGACAGCTAGAACTAAAAAAAAAATAGTTTTGTTAATAAATTTGCAGCTATCACAAAATACAAGATACATATTTGACAGAGAGTTCTAGACCTAAGAAAAAATGGACGGATTGCGTAAAAGACGATATGTGTAAGGGGGGAGTGAGCGAAGAAATGGTATATTATAGAGGAGTATGGAATAAAAAAACATCGCCGACCCCAGGTGACTGGGAGAAGGGCAGGAGAATAATGATGATGAGAAAATATTTGACAGATGCCTGAATCTTGCTAACAACATTTTCTAGATACGAGAAACTTTGAAACGGTTCTGTTAATTTACCTAAAATCATTTACGGAACTCTCAATTTGAACACAAAACGATCAGTGAGTGTTCTGATCTCAAGAGGGAGCGAAATCCAGAGAAAAACATATTGTAGAGGGAAAAAACGGCCAAAGCCAGAATTATTTGAGAGACAATGAAGAATTAATACTATATACTCTAACAAAACGATTACAATGAATTAACGACCTTATGTGATAGAAAAAAAAACCTTTTTTTTTTTTTTAACGCTGGGGAATCCATTTACGGATACCCGGTCGAGAGGGGTAATAGACCGGGTTATGTCGGACTCCGGCGCCTCCAGAGAAGAAGAGGGAGAAGAGGAAGACCAAAGTCCTCCTCTTCTTCCAATTCCTACCGGGAGACTACGCCTTGAGAAAGGCGCGCGAGGCGCTGCGCGGCGTCTACCACGCAGGACCCGCCCCGCAAAACCGACTACCGACTAAACCCCATCGAGCTCCA